AATATATAAGAAAGAATGTATATAATAAAGATCTAATCATAATAAATAAAAGCAATTGTTGTAAATTGTTATAAAATTTTTCCTTATTTTAATTTAAAATAATTTAAGTGTTTATCCTTCGCTCTCTCTTTCTCCTTCAACAATAATAGAAAAATAGATATTTTAAAATTTATTGTTTATTATTTAATATTATTGTTTAGTATTTTATATTATATATTTTTTTTCATTATTATAAAATATATGAGATATTTATAAAATTTATAATAACACTTATGTATTGTCAATCTCGCAATGCATGTATCTTTCATCAAAATATTTAATCTTGTATAAATATACTTAGCATAACGCGCACAGGATGTACTTTAAGTTGCTATCAAATCCTTACATGTTGCTCAACTTTCGCACTAAACCCGTGCTGGCATTGTCTTGTAAGTTCTCCGGTGTCCTCAGTAATTGTTATTATGGATCATTACGAAACTTTTGACGGGTGCAGAACAGTGCGCAACATCGTTGATATTCGAGTGTATACTTGTATGAATTCGTACTTAGCTAAATGGTAATTTCGCTTTATGAACGCCGGATCAAACCATAAACTCTTGGTTGAGATTTCACTGTGCAAGTTTCTCTTTTGCAAAATTTACGTAATAATAATAATTAATAACAAATGCGACAAACAATCTTTATATTATGTACCATAAATGTCAATCGAGTTTAAAATCTGATACGATGTTCATTTAAATATAATTTGATTAACATTATTAAATTCATTTCCTATATGTGAAATATTCTCGACAGTCTTTATCATTATACATATATTTTACTGTAACGTATTATTCATAAATTCGCGTACATGTATCTTTTTTCCTTTTTTCGCTCCCGTCCTTCACTGAATTTCACTGTCAACTTTTCACTTTGTAAGCGCGTTTAATTTCCATATTTTCTCGCATTTTTAAATGTCACTTTCAGTTCACAAAATAATTTGCAACGACGTCTTGCTTCGTGTTACACCGCGTTTATCGCGTTACATTGTTTATCGTTGACATGCGAATCGATCATCGCTTGATTCTATCGTGCAGACGATGACCCGATCGAAAGCTCGACGAGAATTTATATGGAACTTTACGCGAGATATCGCTCATTTATAAACGCTGAACACGTCGCGCCATAATCGTAAATTGGCGGATAATACTTTCGTGGACGAGCGCTGCCATAAAACACTCGTATGTTGTAACCTAACGTGTATACGACACATAAGCGCCTCGAACTTCGAGCGTTAAAAAATTAATGCGTTACTTCCGTTGCAAATGCCGTTTCCGATAGTATTATTTGGCACGTCATATGTGAAAAGTGTTGGCTCATCACATTATTCGTTATAATTAATGGGACAATCTGTTTTGCGTACACGAATTTGTTAAAAATTTAGAAATTAATATATAAACTAATTCAAACATTAATTTTGTAATTTTGTAATAGAATTAATTTTAGATACTAATGCGTGCTAGTACTTATTATATTTATATATATCGATCAAAATTTTTAAATAAAACTCCAATTCAAAAATAAAAATCCAATTTGTAAATCACTTGAGCGACGAGTAACTTCCATAAATTACTCGTCGGATTAAGACCTTAATAAATCTTTGAGAGATCTCTATGATCACTAGCGCGTTGATCACAGTTTATCGCCGAGTTTCCATCCGAATCAGTTACATGTTTCAGGCTGGACCGCGAACTAATTAATTCCAACGTACCGGCGCGTAAACCTGGATTCATAGTCCGTGGAGAGGATGCATAAATTCGAGTAGAGTGGCGGTAAACCTCTCCCCATCCCCCTTTCTCGTTTCGAGGACTGTACGTACTTGTCCGAACTTTGATGATTATAAAACAGGCTTATAGGAGGCTCCCGTTCTGAAATGTAGTTTTCGGATACTTTATTGATGTGAAAGTCTATCAAGCGTTGATGTTTTCAGACATGATGAAGATCATTTTCACACGCATGTAAAAAACGAAACTGTCCCCTTAGGATTACGAAAAGAATATCATAAGATATCAATTAAATTGTAATACAATTTAAGAAGATGATGTAAATTGTAAATTGAAGGAAAACTATAATTTAAATTAAATAATAAACATTTTAGCAAAATAATAGTTAATTTGCAAGCTGTATTACATTACACATGAATGCATGTAAAATATACTTTAATGGCCTTTTAATTTTGCATATAATATATATGTATATGTTTGATATAGTTTTATATTTTGCTCGACAACTGATTGCGCATATTATGCAAACCGCATTAGTTTACAAAGAATCGTAGCATTTCCATAATAAATATTCTCTTGTCAACGTTTTAAAAATTCACTTCCGCTGTTCTCAAATTAGATTTTTATGGCATTAAATTTCAAAATATCAAAATACGAGTCATTAAAATTTCGCATATTTTTGATAGAAAAACATTTTATTTTATTTCTGTGACAATAAAGCTTCAATTTATTTTACAGAAATTTTTAGCAGATGTTTTACGTCTACTTTAATGCTACAGGTTTGAAATTTAATGCAGGTTCCTTGTAAACTCAGAATTTCACGCCGCAAATTCCCGCGCGTAATAGCTGTAACGCCGTTGCGAACCGGAGCGGCTTTGGCGGCGCGAAGTGTCCTTCGATAGCCTCGAGGACCCGGGACCGATCCTCCTTCGTCCTGGTCCGTTCGAGCGGAACTGATATCCACCCTTGAAATCAGCTTCGTAACGAAATACCACGTGGCTGCAGGCAAGCACGTAGGGTTACCTCGCAGATAGTCGAGCTTCGGGAAACGGAAGGGACGGAGGGCGTCGACTCACCTTCGAGAGCGGAGCACCCTTCGCGAAAGGGTGAAGTATATCGAGATTCGTGCGATCGATGGAATTTCTCCAGCATGTCGGGGGAGCCGTTTTATTTCCGGTCGCTTGATCAGCACCGGTCTTTTCGCGAAACTATTACACGGCAGGGCAAGAAATGACAAGAGAATACCGGGGAGACTGACGGGGAGAGTGTCGGGTGGTCGGAGGACAAAAAAGGCGCGTCTGTTTTTTGTACCTGTGTGTCGTGAGCGGCAGGAGCGTTCCCGCATGCAAAAGATAGGACGTGCACCGCAATCTGAACGAAATCTCCAAACCCAATTTCCTGGACAGACAGACAGACAGACGAACGGACCGGCGCGGTATTGCGCGAACAAACTGTGGATTGTACCAACGACATCGATCTGGGTGCACCGGGGCCGGATGCGACTTTAATAATGCATCGCCGTGACTTTGCGCGGAAGAACGCGTGCGGTGTCTTATCGGTCGGTATACGTTCGAGTTCGCTTAAATCACGCGCCAACATAAAATGTGCCGCAAATCGTAGATAAGAATAATTGAAAAGTTTTCTTTGGAAGAATTTAATAATATTCTGTAGGCAGTTTTCTCTCCTCTTGTTTCCATCAATATACGTTCAATTGTATTCATGAAAATGTTATTTCGTGAAAATAGATTTTTCGAAAAACATGATACATTATACTATATATATAATATTATAATCAATCTTTATTATGATGTAAATAATTAATTAAAGTACTAAGAATAGTGTAAGATTAAACAATAAAATTTTGGAACGTTATAATTTAAGTAAATAATTCATGAATACGGGCGAGAAAATATGACAAATAACAAAAAGTACAAGAATCGAAATATAAAATTAACAATGAGAAAATATGAATTACTGTTGCGTTAATTCGCAAAATGTTGGATTAACAAAAATTGCAAAATGTTAAAAGTCAGATAAGTGGGATCCATATCCCATGTATGATTTTTAATAAAGCAACTTGTTTGCCTCCAACAACAGTTGCCTAAATGCTCGACTGTTTGTTCGATGTGAGCGATATTCGATTTCACGAGAGGCTAACAAATATCTTCTCACGTATTTGGATACATGCATTTCTCCGTTATCATGTTACCTGGTATCCATTGTGGCTCGAATATCGTAATTAAATGTCACATACTCAACATTTTAAAGCGAAGTGACCCTTCATCATTTGCTCATTTTTTTACGTTTACGATGATAATTGATTCGTGTGGAATTGATATTAAATCTTTGCATAAAAAATTTATATATTCATATATTAAAATAATCATAACTGGAAAAAAAACTCAATAAATGTTCCAATTAAATTCGAAATGCATTACACAACTTACATAATCTTGTGAGAATAATCAATTATATATATTACTTGTCTTGTTATATTTTTATATTAATTATGTCGTGTTATATTAATCATGATATTAAAAGAAAATAATATAATTGATAGAAGCATTACAAATTAATATATACCTACAACTATTTTAGTAAAGACAATTTTCTTGTATAATAATTTTATCCAATACGCAGCAAATTACGGCTCGTTCAATGACCGTGAGTCACAGTAATTTTAGACTTGACGTTCACTTGGCAGAAACTGTCTATCAGATAATTTTGATGAGTGCATTATTCGACGAGAGAGCGAAGCTAATTCATTATACAGTATTAACCTATTGAAGCGAATTTACTGGGCGCTTAAGTGATGAGAAAGCTTTATCTTTAGTCGCCAAATGTAATCTACTGTCTCTCCAATTGACAGATTCCAAAACTAATTCAATTTTACAATAATTAATGCATTTATTATTAATTACACTAATGCCCGCATGATTGAAAAGTTATATCTGCGATTATCGTTACTAAGTGAATAATACGATTATAATTTCACTAAAACACATATTTTAAGATATTAATGAAAAATATATTGAAATGGAAAAAAGAAAAATCTTTTCGCCTTTTTCTTACATATCTTAGAAAATGCGATTTTCATATAATGCATTGTTGAATTTCGAACAATTTTTATCGATTTATTATATTTTGATTATTTAACATTTAATTCAATTTAAAATCCTATCACACACAGATCTTAATAGAAAAGAAATTTAATTAAAATTTTTGTACATTATCTAGGTAAAAGTCATGCTGAGGGTATCACCTGGAGATGGAGGCAGCTTCTTTAATGCGGATAAACGGAAGAAGCAAGTTACCTTAGTGGATCCAGCGTCCGGTCAATCTTCATCGGCAGAAGATCGACGACCTACTGTGGCAGCGCCGAAAATGTTCGCATTCGACGCTATCTTTACCGAGGAAGATTCCCAGGTATATAATTATAAATACAGAGACATATATATGTATTTATTAATTAAATATGATTATTTAATAAATATCAAAGATTCAGATTATTAGGTACATTAAATAATCTTTTTTGATAGGGCATCTTTTATATAAATCGCAATAAAAAAAACATATATATATATATTTGCGAAGAATATATAACTTGGGTCCAATATTACTTTACAAAATATTTGTCAAGTTTCAATATTAGCTCTTTTATACAAATGCAGAGTACAAGTACAACTTTCATAAGTTTTTCATTCTATGCTCCATCCAGCACACATGTAAAAATTTATTTATCTGAAATACTACTCTGTAGTCGGATTAAGTCGGCAGCGAATGCGACTTAATTTCTGTCCCGTTAACGTTTTAAATTTCGAATGGCACTCGAGCGCGGCGTAGCGAACAAAGCGGCACTTATAACGAGCATGTTTAAAGTCGCTCGATAGTCGGGAAAATCTGAACACGTGCGCAAGAGAGAGAGAGACAGATTTCGAGTCAATGACGTTTTCGTTAGCCAGCTGTTTCTCAGGAGTAGCGAGTAGGAACTGCTCTCAATGGAGGGTGGTTGCTACTTCGTACTTGAAGACGCTCTTCTTTCACTCGGTCCGTTCTCACTCCGGAAAATCCTCCCCCTCCTCCTTCGATTGATTCTTAAAGGGCCGCTAGGCCGGCTCGATTCTTCGAGATTCATGAGAAGAAGAGAGCGGACCAAAGAAAAGACTCGAAAAAGTTTACAAAGAATAAAAGAAAGATAGACAGTCAGGCTAAAGAAAGAGAACCGAGAGAGAAAGAAGAGGAGAGTCCTAGTACGTGCTCCGACGAGATCTTACGTCCGTAGTAGAAACGTAAGAGGCGTCCCTGACGGGCGCATAACTAAACTAATTTCCCGACCTCTAAACTCCACCTCCAACAGGAAAATCCATCCCTCCGGGCAAATGTTGCTCTTTGCCTGTGACTTCCTCGGTTGCTACCAAGCAAGCAGAGTCCTGCCGGCAGCATCCTCGGGACAGTTTATCGTGTTAGCATATAAGCGGAATATTTTTCTATATTCTTTTTCATCTTGCGAAATCCACCAACATTCCATAAAATACATTTTTTTTAAGCAGTAAGATTTATAATCTCATAAAATATATTTCTAAGTGAGAGTTGATTTGATTTGCATAAAATATATTTTCTCTCATGTACATGCGAATAAAATATATTTTTTCTTAAATATATGAGAGTATATTATATATGGATAAATTAATAATTCAGTATTAAAGTTCACTAAATTTTTGACTGATCTCCTCTGGATTAATTTGCCAATCGTCGTTATCGATGCTTCTGAAAATTATTATCGAAGCTTTCTCTGCATGTCAATGATTCCAATAAATTGTATTATACGACCTTGATGGATGGCATCGCCGGAGCAAATATCACTAGAGATCGTAAACCACACCGCAATATGATGTTATATACACATATTGAGATATTTCGGTACTCCTGAGGGACATTATTGAGCGTCTGATTCAAATGAGCCCGGAGCTACTGGATATTCCAGAATCCCTATCTCGCTCTTCGCTTTGACAGCGCATCTCTCGCTCTCTTTCTCTGATACTCTATCTCTTCATTCCTCTAACTATATACCTTAATCCAGAGAGACTATCTCGCCTACACTTTCTCCTCTTCGCTTCTTCGTCTATTCCTCTTCCTCTCTTTCTCTTTAGCATATCTCTTTCGCTTTGACAATGTTTAGAAGGACCATAGAAACCAATCGATTGATTCGATCAAATGTTCGTCGGCCACGGCGATTGTCATTGAAGGACACAATAGGCCTTTTCTCCTCCCTTCTTCCCTCTGTCCCGACTCTTTTTTTCTCCCTTCGCGATTCATCGAACCGGCTGTGGACCAGCTGGACTTCTAGGGGTGAGCTCGATAGGATAAAAGAGCCGAATTCGAAAGAGCGAGTCCCAGCGTCCAGCGCGACTTTTCGTCCTTTCCGATTGGCCGTCAAACACACTCTCGCTTGAATATTTTAAAGACTACTGGGGCCGGCCGCGCGCGCCATTCTAGCGGGCAACCTACAATCGTTCATCATCAAACCAGCGATCTCTTTGACGTTTTTATGGAATCGCGAGAATCGATGGCGCCGATCTCCGCCCTTCGAAAGTCCTGTTATCCCGTTATCAGACTTTGCCCATGATTGCGATCGTAACAATGAATTTTTCTTTTTGATGCCAATAAACGTAACGCAACGATAACTACACAATAAGAATGAATCGAAATAAAATCTTCATATCAGTTTCCGTGCGCATTATTTCAATATAACAGAAAATTGTAATTTTCGTAGCTTTTCGCGTAGCATGATAAAAAAATTCAATAATACAAAAGCTGGATTTTATAGAAAATTTTTCTAAAGTGTTTCATTCAATAATTCATATATAGAAGTAGATACAAATATACGATCTTTTTATATATCATTCTTCTACTGACAAGTGAAATAATCGTGATAGCAGATGCATATTTATCGACAGCGTCCACTCGTTGATGACGATAATTTTAGCGGTGACATAATCCGCTTGATACGCTATATTTGCGCATTACATCGACCGATATCTGCATAAATACACCCTGCGAACATATGACGTCCATATATATTTGAGCTCCAAGTTAACAAGGATATCTGCTAAAGAAAATACGATTAATCGAAATTGCAGTTGCACTTCTGTTTGCAAAGAGCAAAGAAGCCACAAGCGCAATTTATATTATTAACATTTTAACCAGTCAAATAAAGTCTATAATGATACCGCAAATTTTATTGATAGATTATTTGATAAAGTCCAGTAAACTTTGATAAAGCTCTAGATTGATTTAAAAGTCGTTACAAGTCTATTTCAAATGGAAAGAAAGTATAGGAAATACGCGAGAAGCCGATGTCGAAAAACGTATATCAGATAATCAAGTTTATCTCTTCGAGCAAGAAATAATAGGAAGATACAGGAGGAAGAAGCGAGAATCCTTTTGAGGACCGTTCTCGAGCGCAATTTGTGCGAAACTTTCTTTTCACGTATTCAATCACGCGGCTAGCGAGTCTAGCGAACAATTTATTGGAAACAATATACAGCGAAACAGGAAACTCAGCCTGCGTTTCCACGATACAAGTGATATTATATTTTTTAAAACAAATTTTCAAAGCGAGTTTATTTATTTTTTTTTTACGAAATGTAGGTGTTCGAAAAGCTCTTTTTGAATATTCTAATAAAGGTATTTCAATTAACATTTAAGACGCGTAGTGTTCAAACTTATTTCTATACTTGTAAATTTAAATATTTTTTCTTTGTATGTCACTTCGTCCTGGCGTCTTTATATACATTTAGTTTAATTGAAATAAATTTCTCATAAATAAATAAATATATATATATATATATATATATATATAATATCTATTTATTAATTATAAAATTAAATTAAATGATTACTGATAAAATATACGATTAAAAAGTTATAATTACTATTCTAAGCATTTCTTAAAATATCGAAAGAAAAATTAAACATTTAGCAACTTGAATTTGTGCATGCGTTAGGATATTTAATAAAGTATATAATTCATTTCCGATGCCATAAGACAAGTAACGACATAGATGTAAAATCTAGTGGAAACTGAGTCTACTACTCGAGTGTTAACAATGAGCTGCCAATAAGCAGGCCCTGCGCGAACGAAACCCGGCCGCGAATCAATCGACATCCATCTCAATTATGCGCGTCATACGCGCAAACAGCCACGCATTCGGCACGCACATATGCAACCGTGTGCGTGCTTTGCCGACAATTCCAAGCCGGTCAGAGACTCGACCAGGACAATGCATCCCAACCAGAATAATTCACCGCGGCCATTATAGGCCGCGGCAGGACAAGGGCTTTATTATTGACTTACGACTAATAGTCACGCTGTGGATTACGCACGCGTGTGTTCGTATGCGCGTCCATGTGTGTACGCAGCACACACAGCCGATGTGTATGCACGTCACCGATCTATTGCTCATTTGCCAGGGTATGCTGATTGAACGAGGCGACCGGGAGACCTATGAGCCCGCGATATCTTGCTTCCTGACTCTCGTGGGAATTCGGTTGCCCCGAAAATAAATCGCCAGTTGGGTGTCGAATCTTTCAAATTTTTGCAATTTTGTTCTTGGAATTGGAAATATATTAATTTAACGCGAAGGGTGTGTTTTATTTTTCAAAAATAAATTACAAAAATATGTATTCTACGCATCTGCTCTGTGCAAATACATCGATTCAAATATTTTCCTATATAAATATATTGTCAAATTTATTTTTATTAATATAAGAAAATTTTAACTTAAGAATTTGTTCTTGTTTATCTGCATTGATAGTTCAATAGTTGTAAACCATGCATAAATTCGTACAGATCGTTGTAATAATAATTGAATTGACTGGTTGTCTCTAAAATGCACTCCTCACGGAGATATTGTGTATCGTCGAATAAGCATGATCGGCGTAGGGCTCGTCACTGCCGTTCTCGAGCAAATGCATGGTAATCTATAAACCAATCATACGGCCCTGTGGCCAAGGTATCCTGCCCTCAGCTGCGTCTGCGCTCCTTGCCTCTTGGCCCATTCTGTCCGGCCAGATATCCGTCGTATCCTCTCGAATGACGTATTTCCATATTACAGCGGGATTAATTTACGCTGTAGCGCGACCGGGTGTTAAGTAAAGCTGATGAAGTTTGACAGGTGTCAGCCGAAGACGAGCGAATAGTCATTGCACTTCGTTGCACCTGGCTGCATCTACAGACGCTCGTGATAGACTATGGTTTACTTTCATTCTTGCGGAATAAACTTGGTTATGACGTGAATCGAATAATGATGTATGAAATTGAAGTTTCCGAAACAATAATCACGCTTAAATTATCTTTTACACAAACTGTGTGAAATGCGTTTCGCATCTTTTCACCTTAAAATCGATTTGGAATAATTGAGTTT